TGGTGGTTCTATGGTACGACTCCTCCGTCCGTGTGGAATGTCCATTGGATGGTACCGACAGCGAGTCTGGTCCTCGTGGGGTATGGAGTCAATGAGGTCGCATACACGCTCAGCGGATACCTAACAGATACGTATACTGTCTATGCGGCATCAGCCTTCGCCGGCCTGGCGTTTGCCCGGGCTTTAGTGGCAGGTGCGGCCCCACTTATTGGATATGTGCTTTTTGACGAGACACATAGTAGAGTGCCGGGGCTTGTCGTGGCTGGCTTGGCTACATTATTCTGTTCCGTGCCATTTGTGTTTTACAAACTGGGCCGGACATTTCGGCATCGGAGCGCGTTTGCCAAGTATAGTTTTGAAGTACATCAGCGGACACAGGTAGGGGATTAGTAGATCTTCGATAGATCTTTGTTTACCTCTGAAAGGGTGGCCTCCCGTTTGGTGTTTCATCGGGGCTAGCTATACTCTACAGAACGATGGTGGCTGTGGATCGAAAACATAGATAAAAGTACGTGTCGGCCATCATATTATATTTTAGATTGTTTTAGAGACAGCAATCCACTCTCAACAGAAGCTGAACTGCTTTTGTTAATCTTCACAGCGCTCAGTTTCTCGGCTTAATGATGGTCGCGTGAGCTCGAGCCGCTTTGTTTAGGCCCCTTGGTTGACGTGCCTGTCCTTCACACTTTTGATGTGTAGGTTGGTGCGCTTTATTGACTTAGGGCTTGTGTATCCCCAGTTCATGCTAATATACTCTTGAAATAAAGAATGTGTGTAAATCTACCAACCATAACTTCCCCATTACTAAAATGCTTTACTTTGTGCCATTGATCTATCACCTTTGTTGTTATATGGGTTAAAAATGAGCTTTGTTGATCTATTTTGCAACAAAGTCCTTAGAACGTCCATGCAGTCTATCATTCTTGGCTTACTGAGAGCGATTCTACGATAGTGAATGTATTAATAGCGGGCCGGTAAATTCGCAAGGCCCTTTAGAATGCTTGAGCATCTTGTGGCTTACAGGATATTCTGTATATATTCAACATTCTATTAATGCAGTTGCCAATAAGTAAAATATGTGTCCCTATGTGGTTGTTCTCCGAGTATTCAGCAGTTTCTTAGGGATATTCACAGTCATTGGACTGCTGCTTTCCATCATCGCGGCGTGCAGGACTGTGAACAGTGTCATTTCTGTTACAATATTGCTTTGTTGTTCCATACTTGATGCTATTTCATGTCAGAGTGCTCCTGTACTATTATGTGGTGATACTCCAGAATTGTTTATTTCTTTACCTAACAACCAAGCCTGCTCCAGAAATCAACTCGTCAACAGGATATGCTAGTGCGAATTTAGGTAAAAGATTAATGAAAATCCAAGTTAGCAACTGAGAAACTTCACGTATGCCGGACAAACCCTTGGGGTGGCCACGGGATCTACGAGCTACTGGATGAAAATGGTTTAATAGTAATTTATGAATCTTTAGGACTTACTAGATAATGTAGAGTTCAGCAGAAGAGATGCAGAGGATTCACTTACCTCACAGGTGTATCAAAAACTATAAAACTCCCTTGATTTCCTCCATTAGAGGATCTTTTTTGAACCTTAAACCATGTGCTATGAGACCGGGCTCGTATCCCTTACTTTCACTCCTCCTTAAGTGATGACCTACCTTGCCTAGTCTGGCCTTTGTTGTGAATGGTCCTGTCACTCAAGCCTTCATTACTATACTCAGCATGAGACTCGGACTATTCTCTCAGGGTCTTACCGTCGATTTTATATGCACCAATGTTATACTCTCTTAAATCCATCGCTAAGCGACCCACAGACGACACCAAGATGACCTCCTTGAATGATTAGAAATATATCGAAGCTGTCAACTTCACGCATGTCAACCAGAGAAGCTCAATCCTTTCCTTTCTTGTAATGTTGGCTGGCTGAAGATAGGCATAATTAGCCTTGTTCTTTCCGCATGACTGTGACCCGCAAGAAGCATGGATGCAATGCTTTCCAGTACGGAGGCTGGAATGCTAAATTGTTTAGAGCGCTATACCATGTTCCTCCCTATTCACAGTAAACTCCAAGGTCATGATTGGGTAATCAGGGCGATATTTCCAGTGGACTTGATGGAACTCCTTGGGACGATGTTTGCTGCATATCTATCCCAGCTGCCAGACCATCGAAACTGCGGAGGATGTGAATACGCACCAAAAGCGACCCTTCAACATCGACGCCTTTACTAAGCAAAGATCCTGCAACTGCGACACATAGTGAGCCATTTGTCGAAACGATCCGTCTATTGAAGATCTTGACATCAACACCAGTGCCAAGAGCCCTGAGTGTGGATCAGGTCATTCATCTTTAAATAGAAAAGCGAGTCGCCTCCGAATCGATCAACGGCACGTACCGACTTAGATGTCCTGATCAGCTGGCCTTCCTTTATCAGGTAATCATCGAGAGCGGAGTCTAAGCATTCTTTTCCTCCTGCACTCAGATGTTATGGGCTCTATATATTCGCGAGATCGGCCATTTTGACGTTCTGAACGGGCTGGATCTCTTCAGTTATAGCCCGAGGATACCATTAACCATCATCTATTGTCTAACTGCTCCTTGAATCAGAGCTGAGTATTGGCACTTATGTCTGAGCTTTGCACTACAACTTGGCCAGCTTCTATTTGTGCCGGGCCTAGGCATATAAAAATACGGTTGCAAGCCTCAACCAGGAATATGTGTAGCCTTACCCTTGCGGTAGGATGATACAATCCTTTGAATAATACCACCGACGGAGCAAAGGTTGAAATGGGAGTGCTTAGCGACCCGGTGTTGTCAGGTAGTATTAGCAGGTACCGAGGTGCTCCTATTCGGAGCTTCTCTATATCTAGCTTTATGCCTGCGTGAACCCTACCCAGCACTCGCCAGCACTCTTTGAGTGGTCTGATTCTGTTGTGGATTTGGCCTACATGATGGATTATACTTCCACTATTATCAGGAGTGTATGGTGATCTAATGGAACGGGCAAAGCCTGCATGACCTCAAGTTTACTATTATATCCTTCTCTGAACAGGTCCAATCCATCCGCTTGACCTCAACTGAATATAAAGTTAATTTTCAACTACTACGAAAATATTACGGTCACGCTCTTGAGGAGCGCCTTTTTTGTCAAATCTCTAAAGATCTGGTCTATAAACCAGACGACAAAGATGGTCTAGCTAGCATGGCACGCCTACAAGATAAAGACACAACTCAAAAACAGTAAAAGTTCTTAATTGCAAAGACAAAATACAAGTCACTCATGGCTGAATATTTTGCGCGATTCATCTGTGATGAGGGTCAGTATGTCATCCACACTAGGAACAACCAGGGTGTTGCTTACATACACCCACGATCATGGTGGCTCATCACCGCAATATCTATGTGGAACCGCGCCCTCGGCCTCTGCAGTTAACTGACACTACTGAGCAACGTTATCGTTGCCAATGGGGTGTCAATCAATAGAGGCCCGATGTCGCTGCCTAGACGCTCGCTACTCCTGTGTAGGGATTCCGATGGATCTGCTTCTACTTTTACCTACCTACTTGCACCACTAGTATCCGGAGGAAGTATATGAGCAGTCAACGTCGTTTACGCCTATCGCCGACCTAACTTGCGATACACCTTCCTGCAGCTTCTAGAGCATTCTCAGGCGCTTAGATCTTCGAGTCTACAAACATCTCTTTAATGTCAGTCGGATATAGAAACGTCTCGTGCTGCTGCTCCGCTGTGCCACAGTTGCAATAATAATTGCAATGACCGTCCTATTAAACGCACAAAATCTGCCATCAAGCCATTGTGGCAGGACTCTAGCAGGTGCTGGCAGCTCTGGGGTTCATCAACTCCATCATCCTTGTTATGGTCAACGGATTCCCTGATCATGTGTGTGTTTACAGTTTGACCGCATGTTTCAAATGGCTGTGGGGAGATTGACGAGATGACCCATAATCCTGAGAATTAAATCAATCAAGCGCAGCAAATACTACAGCAGCCAACAGATTTCCAGAGCTAAGTGCTAGGCAGCACCACTGGAATCCCAGGGACCTATTTGGGGAAGTTCAGGATAGGAAAGTTCAGGACACCCTTTTACAAGGAAAAATTATTCCATCTCCATGAGTGATTCTATTGAACCGAGAGAAACTGAACCAGATTCAATCGGCGAGGACGGCGTTAGCAGCAGCCTCCGCTAGCGGGCATACGGTACAAGTTCGCTGGCCTCTCTCTTCTTTCCCTTAGTCAAGCAACGCCGTGCGGCTTAAAGTCTTTACGCTACATATCTCATCGGCAATCGACTAAACACCGCTCTGCTATCCCTATGGGATGCTATCCTTACCCAAGCTATTCTGGCGAGGTAGTGTCGGGCAATTGTTCTGCGTAAGCTTTTCGGCGATTTCAAGATCTATCCTTCCGCGTTCTGGACTGCGGTCAAACCGACGAGCGGCGACAGATATCAGCAACGTGGAGACTTAACTGGCCTGGACCCAATCCAGTTAATCCAAGCCATAGCTATAAGCCAACAGAGAACCAATTTCTTATAATGAACCAACCCGCGGAGACCTGCAACAAAGGCTCTGCTGAATCTAACCATTGATCAATATTTTGGAAACTAGCGCAACAATACCTTAAATTCTCTCCCTACGCATGATTCCAGATAGTACTTTCCTATGGGCAGGGCATAGCAACGATTATCATCAATGGTATAGAACAAATCAAAGTACCCCTAGCTTTTGATTTATAGCTCGATAAGCATCTTGAACTCGAGAATGAGGTCAATGAGGATTCATGTTCTAAAAACATAGATTGGCCCATCTCGTAGACCAGCCCTACTTTTACCATCCATGACATTCAACTTCAGTAAATGCTGCGCTTGATTGGCTATTTGTTTAACATAATTTGATTTTGCAGGAGGAGATTAGTGATACAAAACGATATCCATAACAGTGGAGACGGGGCCAAAAACAAAAGCAACCAATGAGGCTGGCAGTATTCGAAACTACAACCTTTCGATCTGGAGTCGCTAGTATATAACTGTTAGAATAATTGCTTCAAATTGACTTATTGAAGCAAGTTGGTACTCACAACGCGCTACCGTTGCGCCACAGCCCCGGTGGTTGAAAATTAAACTTTTAATAATGATTTGCAAAACGGACTTCATCAGCCACCATCCTCCGATGCATGTGGCGTAGCAAGCTGACATGCTATATATATATATATATATATTATATATATGCGAGGATAGCTGTGCGAGTTCGGAATATGTTTGGGCTTATCCGGTTAAGAACCAACAGGGATATCATCAGCCGCAGTCCGATCGGCTTAATACACTACCTAATGCAGATGACCTCGTTTGAGTTTACTTTCTTGGGGCGATGAGGAGTGATAAGCCCTTGTCCGCTCAGTGTGTATGCCAGTGTGACCTGTCGAACAAAGACAGGGCAACGGGGAGAGAGCGCAGCGTTTCATAAAGATATTTAATTCAGTATAGGGCTATGCCCGGTCCGGAAGCCAAGTTATAAATATGGCCATGGTTTTCTGTCCATGCTACTTGTCTTTTAGATTTCTACACTAGGATCTCCCCAAGACTCACATTCTGGAAACCTTTGCAACAAACGGAGCCACTCAGTTTTCTTGCTGTCCTTATGTTCGCCTCCGTGGCGGCGGCCGGTTTGATAACAACGGTATTTGACAATCGTCGCGCTTGCGGACGCCACGTCCTCATGGATAGACATATCCTCGAAACAGAATGCGACGGGAAGTACCCTAACCCAGCTGTAAGGTCACGGTTAGATCTAAACCACTGTTTCGGTGTGGACTTCAGGAACACTTGATTGCAGACAAGGTGTAGGTCCATTTGTTTACATCATTGGATTGATTCCGATTATCCATTTACAGTGGAAATTACCATAATCTATGCAAGTATTGCACAATAGATTACCAAGGGGGATTCAACGTTGAACGGGTTTTGACTTCCCATTAAAGTGCAACTGTGAGGGCAAAGATACTGAAACCAAGCTAGGTAAGATGACCCAAATAGCCTCTTTTCCCTGCATCTACGTGTCTTTCTTTAGTAATATTTGCTATATAAGATCAGATGAGGCCATTAAGGTGAAAGATGATCGCATATGCTATGACGAGATGGGGGGAGCCTTTTGGATCAAGCTTGCGGACTTCAGTGGTTACCAGATACACCAGAGCACCGTCCTAAGCAACTCTTTTACTCTCGGACTCCTCCTCTCCCCTCCCCATCTTTCCACGCAATTGGGCGAGCGCGTCAATTAAGATATCTAATAATATAATTAGTCTTTAAAGACGGTCCACCTTTGTTGATTCTGTTCTACCTTCTAGATATAGATCTAGCTATCAAGCATGCGTCCGCGCCACAAGCCTATGAAGCAAGTTCATCTTCAGAAGAGTCACTATATCCTCTTCCCTATTGAGAATACTTCCCTCTGGCCACATGTGAAAAGGCCAACTTATCTGCTACATATAGTTCATCGAACGTCTTCGCCCCATATTCCATAATGAGCAACCGGATATCCTCCCTGCGATCACAATCCGCTTGTCCTTCCCGGTATTTTCCTGTATGGCTGGCTGTTCAGGTAATGCTCTGTATCTTTGCCAAGCGTTTGGCCAGTCGTAGTGCACCTCTCCCGAGTTAACAAGATCAAGGGGGTTTGAGTCCAGTATCCGACGCAGGAGAATGATTTGGCTTGTGCTTGATCAGGAGCTCCACGCACTCGATATGCCCGTTGGCTGATGCCTCGTGGAATGGTGCCCATCCGAATGTATTGGTAACTGAAGAGCTTACTTTAACCAACCCCCGCAGATGAGACCGCGGCTGCATGCTTGATTGCTGCCGTTGATCACGAACTCCCGAGAGCAGCCAGGCTGGTAGTGGTGAGGCTGTGGGGGCATCGGGGTTCCCGCGAACCAGAGCTAGGCGTGGATCTTGTTTAGCCTGGTAAAGTTGAGATTTACCTTGACGTGGTGACTTGTGAAAGGTGTGAGTACATCCTCTCTCCATCGCCTATTTGTCTATCTTCGATTTGACGCTAGGACCCGAAAAACCCGCCCCGAACCCGGTCTGGGTCGCGGTCGGGTTCAGAGGCTTCCCTGCCTTGTCAAAGGAAGTGCTGTTTGCATCTGCGGTAGCCACAGCTGCCGACAATTGATGACACCCTAACTATATAAGTATAACCGTGGGCTATGAATGGAGATAGCTGGGCTGCTGTTAGTGGGTTCGTCCAGACCGTTTACAAATAGGTGACGATGCTATAGGGCTACCTATCATCGAGTAACTATCTTGAGGGCGAAACATACACTAAGGGAACGCTCATGGTGAGTCGAAGCTAGGTTGGATATCTGATTGTTACAGGAAGGTAACCATCGAAATAGACTCAATGAATCACGCGCCTCACTAGAGCATGGTGTTATCATCAACAGCTGGACGACGAATTTTCTCTTCTCGTGTTGATGTCAACTTGATTAAGGGTAACATCAATGTGCCAGAACTGAGCGGCAATAGCTGGCCTCTCGCTGAGATGCACGCCACTATGTTTGCATGGAGACATACAAAAAGATTTAGATTCTGGATAGATATGCCATATTTTCGCGGTAAGGTTGACTGACGTAACAGATAGAGGCATCATTTTCAACAACGGAACCATGGATTCGAATCTTGCTCCCCGTAAAGGTGTTGTGGTTGCATCACTGGTCCCAATTGCAGTCAATATAAATTGGGGACTTGTTACAGGACAGCTATGGGGTTTAACTAGAGAGCCATATTTCTGTAAGTAGTCTATAAACTAGATTACTTATAATATTCAGATATTTTAATATATAAAACCCTTTTCTAGTTTCTATTTTTACTGTTAGAATATCACTTTTCAATATATTCTTTGCAGAGTTCCAGTTCCGCGGCACATAATTTATTAGCCTTCACGGCACAATTAAAGTTACAGAGAAACTTGCTTTTACAAGGCTTATGTTCTAGTATGATAAAGGATTCAACTTAGGAATTTTTAGACTGCGCCGCTTACAGGCTTCTGAGTGAGTTGATAAAAGTGTGAGTATTTTTCCGGTATATCAGTGGGTTATTGATTGAAATAATTTCCTAATGCAAGCACCCATGTGCTAGAATTTGACTTTGACATGACTGTTCTGGCACAGTCCAGACAGAGCTTTCTTTTGCTCCTTATCAATTAATTGTGCGATAAATTGCCACCCTAGAAGGTGTATTACGATTCAAGTGACATATGAAAATTATTCATGGTTTGGTTACTAGTTTTGAGATTCTGCAAATCGGTACTCCTACGTTGCTGCCAAAATGGCTGCTGCAAGTGCGCTACTTGATCCCCACCCTCTTGCCAATCAGAACAGTGCACAATACCTATTTCCTCTCTATGCAATGGGATCGTGTGTCCATAATATTTGGAAGGATTTATCTGTGGATCGACTCAATGACATACATGGATCACTATACATGGCACGAGCTGAATGGGGAATCTCACCACTACATAGTCAGCGCATCTGGGGTCGCAACATCGTTATCAGCGAGGACGCCGGGTTGCATCTGCTGTGGTACGATGATATTATCTACATCAAACCCATACCACTGTACCTCCTCGACCAGACGTTTTTTCAAGAGCATGTTCGCCAGACTGACAATGATACACAAGAGCTTGTCAATGGTTTCTTAAAGTCATACCGTTCACTCATCCAACACCCGTCCGATATTAAGGTCGCTAATATTTCTGGTCTCCTTCCCGAAACGTTTACTTGGGACCGCTGGGTTGAGTACGCTGATGCTGTGATATACCCGTCTTTAAGTAGGCCATATAATAAGCGCTACGAGTATGGCGAGCTTAAACTTCGGAATCTTAATTGGCTCATGCTTCTACTTCGCCGTCGCCGCTACCATTTCCCACAGGGCTCATACCACAATCTTCTTAGGCGCAGGCTTACTACGATCATTGCTATATTTTCTATCATCGCTCTTTCGTTAACTGCAATGCAGGTCCTAGTCGGTATTCAATGGACACCAATATATACCCAAAAGATATACTATTGGTTTGCCATTTCCTCTCTACTCTTCCTCGCTGGGACCATTGCTGCTGTTGCTTTATTTTATTGTTTTGTTAAGTTAAAGAGACCCTTATGTCATATTGGAAGAGTCATACTCCGCTGCTTGGTACTCCATTGTACTTAAATAACTATACCATATCGTAATATTAAGTAAAAAGTCAATAATCTTGTTATGGGACGTGTCCCCTGTAGAAGACCATTCTACCAACCTCGAGGCCCTGGCCTCTGGTTAAGTACTATCCAGACAATATAAAAAAAAGTATCATACTGGCTGAAGGGTACTAACGTTTGTTTCCGTGCTAGTCAGTGCCACTTCTCTGGAGCCTCACGCTCAGTCCCTGATCGGCATCAAAACAACGAATGTACTCCATCTGGACTGTTCGCCCCCGCTAAGCTATAAAGAGTTAGTCAGGAGATATGACAGTCTATTTTATTCTAAATAGTGAGGCTGTAAGTTTCATCCAGATTCCTTTCCCCGCCTCAGTGATGCAGGGTCATACCTAAACTCAGCACTCATAGAAGGCAAGATATTGGAATATTATGACCTCAGTGGGACGGAAGTATCAACGGGCCGGTTGACATCGCCAACAAGGCCGAATGGTCTAACGGGATTGACCTTGAACAGATTTACTGGCTGACCACCATCAAAGGAAACCCATGCCTCAAAACAAGGAAATTTGTCGACTTTCCCTATAATCTAAAGGTTTGTGCGCTCTTGTCAATCCGAATAGTACCAAACATGTCAATGTCTGGCGAAAGAGGAAGAAGAGGGAGGTTCGCTGCCGCCACGAAGTCCAACTCAATGATGTCCTCGTTGGTGCGCATATCGGAGAAATGGCATCTAGCGGCGGATGCCGTCTGTCTACCAATGACTGTGCCAGAGGTAGGATGTTTTAAATAGTATTATTATTAATACATATATTTTTAATATAATACTTTTTGAAAAGTTGAGTAATAGATTACCGAACTGCGTTGGGTCGGACATCATGAAAACCCGACCTGATATCAACTCTATCTACCGA